GGCACTACTGGCAACACCCGGCTAATCATTCTGGCCATCGCTCGGACGTCCATTCCCTGTGTTTGTTTTGTCGGTTTCGCGCGTGCTTTGTTCGCCAACTGATCAAGGATGCTCCTCGATGGCCCTCGCCGAGCAAAAATGCACACGTTCGAGCGATGCCAGGCCCTTGAGCAGGGACCCAGCGTCTCGGCATTCCTGGAGGCCTGCCACGACATTCTCTAAGAGCGTAAGCAGGGTTGCTCGGGCAGAAAGCCAACGTGTTCCAACAAGGCTGCCTCGCCCAAGAATGTTCTGAGAACGTGTCGTGCAAGCCGCAAGCGGTTGGTGGGCAGATAGGCGAATCTGGACGCTTCACCACTGCTTGATTCCGTGAGGCTCTGGCGTCGCATTTTTGCCAAGACGGGCGATTGTGTCTCTTTTCGGTGCCTGAGACCCTCGCGGATTTTCGGTGGCAACTCGTGGGAGCCTCCCATACCATCTTGTCGGCTCTTGCGAATGGGCGCTACTAGACGCGAAATCGACGCTAATCGACCCAATTCGACGCTCATCGATGCTAAATCCGCCGACCCTGTCGGCGTGTGGAAGATGCTTTTCTGCTCGTCGTGAACGTCGTCGTCGTCGTCGTCGCCGCCGCCGTCGTCGTCGTCGTCGTCGCCGCCGCCGTCGTCGTCGTCGTCGTCGTCGTCGTCGTCGTCGATGCTCTTCCGTTCGTCGTCGTCTTCGTCGTCGTTGTCGTCGTCGTCGTCGCCCTCCCCTCAGGCGCGCCAGCCAAAGCGAAACCAAAGCGAAATCGAGCAACGTCGTAGCTGAGTCGAAGGTACAGCGAAATTGAGCAACGTCGTAGCTGAGTCGAAGGGAAGCCCCTTCCCTTTGATCCCTTCTCCGCCGGGGGGGGGGGGGGGTCCCGGGGGGGGGTCCCGGGGATGGGGGGGGGGGGGAGCAGATACGCATCCCCCCCGGGATGTCCCGGGACCTAGAAAAGCCCCCAGACTGGCCAAGAGTGCCCCAAGAGGCTTCCAAGACGGCTCCAGAGGGCCCCGAATCGCCGAACCATCGGTCGAAGACGCCAAAGTAGCCTCCAGACGGCCCAAGAGATTGCCAAGACGCTCCAAGAAGTCTCCAAGAGCACTCCCAAGAGGCCACGAAGAGGAAAAAATCAATGATTTCCTTAAAAGTGTTTGACAGACTTCGGCGTTCTCGCCGTTTCAACTTGCCGACGCTCCAAGACGGCCCCAGATGCCCCCAAGATTGCCCCAAGATAGCTCAAGAGGCCTCAAGAGAGCCCCACAATGACCCAAGAGAGCCTCAAGACCGCCCAAGATGCCTCCAAGATGGCCCCAGAGGCTCCCCAAACGGCTCCAACAGGGTGCCCAGACAGGGGGGCCCGACGAGCCCTCGGCGACAGAGGCTCCCAGGAAGCCCCAAGATACCCCCAAGAGGCCACCACGAGACCCCCAAGAGGCCCCCAGGAAGCCCCAAGAGGCGCACAGGAGCTTCGCGTGCTCATCCGGCATGAGCTGAGGCTCGGTTGGCTCACCCTTTAACCGCAACGTAGCTACTGAAAAGCGCGGGGCAGGGTAGCTGCCCCCGGAGTCCAAGAACACTCCAAAGCAACCCCAAAGGCTCCCAAGACCCCCCCCCAATACGGTCGAAAAGACCCACGAGAAAGCCTCAAACTGGCCCAAGAAGGCCCCGAGAGAGTCCCCGAGAGAGCCCCAGAGAGTCCCCGAGAGACCCTTGAGAATAGCTCCAGATCGCCACCGCCGTCAACGTCGTCGTCGTCGGCCAAAGACGCTCCCGAGAAAGCCTCACGATTGCCAACAACGGCCCCAACACGACCCCCCCCCACACGAGACCCAAAGATACCCCCAAGAGGCCCCCCCCGCCACATTAGAGAACGCATGGGTCGCCCTCCAGGGTCGGCGGCACCGGCCGTAAGGCCTTCGCAATCGGCGCTAGCTCATCCACTCCCAGACGCTATTCGACGCTAATCATCAACGCTGAAGACGGAATTAAGAGGGTACACTAGGCTCCCATGATTTGACACCGAACGGATCGATCTGGCTCGAGAAGCGCCGCAGCTCGATCTGGGTCTGCCTCGCAGCGCGCGGGGGCCCCGCTCCCCGTTTTCTCGCGCTGCGCCGCCACCTCGTCGCCCAGGGTGGCTGGCTGGCTGAGGCCCCCGACCCTTCAGCCATTCACGCCGCCCCGATGTCAGGCCGCCTGCGAGGGGGGGGGCCCGCTGGAGGAGGCAAAGCGGGCAGAACGTCGCCGCCGCACTCCCGGGCAGTTCCGTGCCCTTCTTCCCTCCCTCCGTGCGTCCCCTCCACTCCCCTTCCCAGTACAGTGGAGGGCAGTCCACAAGAAACCTTGCACGAGAAACCCAACCCTGAGACACCAGGACGTACATGGATTTTTGGTGCGGGAACGTCACGCTTTACATGGCAGGTCAGGTCAGGTCAGATCGCCTTGCATCAGACGGTGCGCAAGGAAGAGAATGTGCTAAAGCACAGAAATCAAAGGTGCCATGCGTGGACTGCTGACTCCCATGAAACCCACGAAATCCCAGGGAACCCTGGAGGCAAGCACGCTGCCCTCCGTTCAATCCTACCACCCTCCCCGCCTGCTCGCCGGTCTCCCTCCCCCTCACCTCCACCCCTGTCGCCCCTCGTCCCTGACACACCATCGTGATGATTGCCTTCCCTAACACGTCCCAGTGCCTCCTCTCACCCCCCTCTGGAATTCCGGAATGTCAAGAGGGGGAGCAGAAGAGGGAGGGTAGAGAAAGATGGCAAAGGAAACAAAGAGGGACACGATGAGAGATATGACGAAAGACTGCTCATCACCAGCTGTAGCTTCGGCCAAAGTGTCGGATGCCAGTCACTCAGAAACCAGATCCACTAGATGACACATGTTCAAAGACCAATCAACCCTTTACGGCGCTGGCGACATCGGTGCGGTGCGCACTTGTGCAACTTCCAAATGCACGTGCTCCGACGCACTTACCCGTCTGACAGAGATGGGCACTGTGATCCAAATAGTGTCGAATGAACCTCAATCCGCAAGGGCTCAAACGTTACGCAAATGAAAGCTGGAGTGCAGTGGGTGGCATGATGAAGTGGACAAGGCGGAAAGTCTGCGAGGGAGGAAGCGGGAGCAGCATCTACCAGGAGGAAAGGATATAGTCAGAACATGTTCTCTGCGAGCGACCCAGCCATACACATGCGTGAGTAACGCAATTGTGAGAGTCGTCTTCGGTGGAGCTCCCTACAGGGCCAACGTGCGAGGGGTGTGCCGATTCAGGTCGGGCCGATGCATGTGGACCCTCCCACTTGGGCCTTCGGTGGAGCTCCTTCTAGTGCCATGAAACGTGTGAGGGGTGTGCCGGAATGGGTTGCGGACCTTGCCAGCTGCTTATGGGGCCACGCAACGTGTGAGGGGTGTGCAGACAGGGGACGGGCGGGCGCATGTGGACCCTGCCACAGGGGGCTTCGTTGGAGCTCCCTGTGGGGCCACGACGCGTGAGGGGTGTGCCGAAATGGGTCGGGCGGACGTATGTGGACCCTCCCACTGGGGAGTGTGAGGGATGTGCCGACTTAGGTCGGGCGGACGCATGTGTACCCTCCCACTCGGGACTTCGTTGGAGCTCCCGATTGGGCCACGAAATGAGTGAGAGGTGTGCCGAGATGGGTCGTGGACCCTGCCAACGGTCCACGAAACGTGTGATGGGTGTACCGAAATAGGACGGGCGGACGCATTCGGACCAAGCCACTGGTGTTTTCGGTGGAGCTCCCTGTGGGGCCACGCAACGTGTGAGGGGTGTGCCGATATGGGTCGGGCGGACGAATGTGGACCCTGCCACTGGGGCCAGTGGAGCTCCCTACGGGGCCACGAAACGCGTGAGGGGGGGCCACCATGGCCTGGGCGGATGCATGTGGACATTGCCACCGGGGCCTTCGCTGGAGCTCCCTAAGCGGCCACAAAACGTGTGAGTGGTGTGCCGACATGGGACAGGCGGGCGCATGTGGACCCTGCCACATAGACCTTCGGTCGAGCTCCCTATTAGACCACGAGGGGTGCAACGGAATGATCACGATGATGATGCTGCTGATGATGATGCTGATGATGATGGTGATGATGAAGATGACGATGTGTATGATGATGATGATGATGATGATGATGATGATGATGATGATGATGATGATGATGATGATGGTGATGGTGAGGAAGATTATGATGTTGATGTCGTTGTTGATGTTGATGCTGATGGTGTTGATGATGATGATTATGATAACGGCCATGTTGATGATGATGCTGCTGATAATAATGCTGATGATGGTGGTGATGATGTTGTCGATGCTGATGAAGAAGATGAAGCTGCTGATGATGATGGTGCGGATATGGGGGGCAGGAGAAAGGAACGAACGCGGGGTACAGTCTATTCACATCAACGACTCAACACCACAGGATGGTAGGGAACAACTGCAACAACAAACCTTGTTGCCCGTGCTTGAAGGGTTCCTGGGACGGTTTTGGATCCCGCCCTCCCCTTGCGCGCGAGAGTCAGCTCGTGCCAGGGTCGGCACCAGGGCCGCCGCCAAACAGGGTCCGGCGCCGACTCAGACAGCACATACTCATGAATTTGTTTCTCCTTCGACAGGCGGAACGGGGGAGGAGGGAGAAGAGGAAGGAGGCCGAGGAAGGGAGGAGAGTAAAAGCGAGAGGCGGCAGGAGGCCGGAGGGAGAGAGGGCGTGACAGGCGGGAGGAGGAAGAGGAGAGGAGGGAGGAAAGAGTAGAAGGAGAACAGGAGGAGGACGAGGAGGAGGAAGAGAAGGAGAAGGAGGAGGGGGAGGAGGAGAGGAACGAGAGATGTGGAGGAGGGCGACGAGAACAGAAGGGACCAGGAGGGAAGAGGAGGAGATGAGGAGATGAGGAGATGAGGAGGATATGGGGAGGGAGGGACGAGAAGGAGGCGAAAGGAGGAGGAGATGGTGCCCGCCAGCTCCAGCCCGGGCGCCTGGCTCACGAGTTGCGGGTGCTGCCGCCCCTGCAGCCCCGACGCCCTCGGCGCCGTGGCCGACTGCCACCTCTGGAGCGCAGCGGTCCCCACGCCTGCTCCTCCGCTTCTGCCTTCTCCACATCTCCTTGTCCTCCACTTTGTCTCGCTTCCCCCCCTCGCGCATCCCTCCCTTGATTGGCCGACGGTCCACCGCCGCTACTATAAGTAATCGAGAGGAGGGGGAGGAGGAGGAGGAGGAGGAGGAGGAGGAGGAGGAGGAGGAGAGGAGGAGAAGAGGAGAGGAGGAGGAGGAGGAGGAGGAGGAGGAGGAGGAGGAGGAGGAGGATACGACGGTACCTGGCGGACGCCGCGCTCCAGAAGGCGCCAAGCGTGCACAAGAGGAAGAGGCAGGGCCCTTGCTCGCTTCGGAATATGTCAGCGACGCGCTCCCCCACCCCCCTAGGGATCGCGGGGAGAGCTCCCAGATCCACACGCACAGGACAAGAAAAAACAACTGGGCGGAGGCGAAGCGCAGCGTCGGCCCAGCGCCCCAATCAGGTTTGCGGCATCACCTGGGGCAGTGTTCTGCACTATCCTCCTGGCTGTGCCCCCCCTTAAAGCGAGGGGAGTCCACCGAAACCACTCCATGGAAGCGGAAATGTGTAGCGTCATCTGGGACGGTACAGCTCGTGCCATCCGCCAGGCCGCCCTTCCCGCAAAGCGCAGGCAGTTCACCAAAGCCACCCCCTTGAGAAGCCAGCCCATGGACCAGGTGTGCGGCACCACGTGGAACAGCACGGCGCGTGCTATCCGCCAGGCTGTGCCCCCGGGGAGTCCACCGAAGCCACTCCCTGTCCGCTGGGGCTAGCTGCCGTGACCAAGCGACCGCGGTATCACATCTGAGACGGCGCCTATACTCTCTGTCCGAGAAGGCTCAGAAGCCCCGATCGCCGCATCATCGTCCGCCTCGTTCGGCTTGGGGCGGCAAAGGGTATCCAGCAAGCCTTGGGCGTGCCAACCCCAGAAATACACCATGTCAGGCGGAGAAGATATGCGTCGGCCAAGTTAAACCTTTTCTGACGACTGCTGGGAACGGCGTCCCAACTCGCCAGGGGATACATCTGAGGCGGTGCCAAGGCTCACTGTCGGAATCGGCCCAGCAATCTCAATCATCGTACCACCGTCCGGGGGCGACAGAGAATAGTTATCCAGCTAGCCTTCAGCGTAGCACCCCCAGAAATACGCCATGTCGCTGAAGATGTGTCCGTCGCTCCTGGGCTCTGCTGCGGCCACCAACAACCAGGGCAGCTCTGTCGGCCGCCAAAAGGGAACCAATGTCGTCGCCAGTCCCGCCAGATTGCGGCCCACCCTTGAGCACGCACCCTCGAGGCCCGCCGAGCTGCCGAGGAGCACCATACCACTGCCGAGCGCCGAAGAGACGCCGAGGCCTAGGAACAGGTCGAAGAAGAACGGCTTCGTCAACAACATAATGAGGCCACACCTTGCAAGTACGGCCAAGTTGCCCAGGAAGCGGGCAAAGAGAGCCACCCCAAGGTCGGGCACCGAAGACTCGCCCACGCGGCCCAGGAACTGGACGAGGGAGGGCGACATTGGTAGGCTCGAGAATACGTGGACTATCAGCGCGCACGCCCAGACAAAGACCAGCGACTCCAGGCCGATCCCCACAAGCTCGAGCGGCATTTCGTGGACTCCCACCACGCCGAACACGATGAGGCCCAGCAGGCGGAGGCTGCGCGGCAGGCATGCCTCCCATCGACGGCGACAGAGCGCCACCTGCGGGGCAAGACACATGCGCAGCATCACCAGGGACTCCAGCAGGCCCACTGTCTCCACGCCATTCTCCAGCACCAGGAGGACTCCAGCACACAAGCGCCAACGGCACGGCGAGCCCTGGCCATCCTGCGCTGGCCGGGCAAGAGCGCAGCAGCCAGCACCCGGGAGCGCCGACCAGGCCCATGGGGTCGACCAGCATCGCGCCTTCGGAGCCTCCGCCAAGAAACTCTGGGCACGAAGAGCGGTTGGCCTTCGGCCACGCATGGAGCCTCGCCCTCCGCGACCATGTCGGGCGAGTCCCGCGGCCGCTGCAGTGCAGCGACCGCGCCAGCCGCAGCCTGTGCGTGGCGAGCCGCCGTGCAGCGCCCTCTGGCGCTGCGTCGGGCGGCACGGGACAGCGAGGCCGCACAGGAAGGCGGCACGTGCGCTGTCGGCATCGCGCCAGGCGGGCGCCTGGGGCTGGGGGCTCGCATTGGCGGGCCGCCGCGCCCCTGCGGGCAAAATGGCTGCGGGGGGGCGAAGGGGGGGCCGCACAGGGAGCCACGGAGGAGGAGGAGGAGGAGGAGGAGGAGGAGGAGGAGGAGGAGGAGGAGGAGGAGGAGGAGGACTGACACCTTGACTACACGGCTGGGCAACCGCCATGGAAGGCACAAACCTCACCCAACGGTGGAACCCACCCCAAGCAGCCTCCACCCCCGCGGTCTGGATACCGTACTCCTGCCTGCCAGAGGAGGGTACCAGTCTCGGGGTTGGGGGACGCTTCGGGCGGATTCCCATGTGCAGGCGGAGAGGCCCTTCTGCCTTCCACCTTTGCGAGGGTGGCTAGCCACCCTGTCTCGGCGAGTATGGCAACCCCCGCCAACGCCAGAATGCCCGAACCTTCCTCAAGCCCGGTGTGACCCTCCCAGGCGGCCTCGAGGTCAACGTACTGGGAAGCCTATGCTTGCTTGCAGGTGCAAGCTTTACCGTGTACTGCCGTTTTCTTTACACCTCCCTCACCCCGAACAGTCGCCTCTGGCCACTAGGGCTACCCATGCTCACCATCAGGGCTGAGCAGGGCTTGACAGCACCTCTCGTCATCAGGGCTACATATTGATGTCAACAGCCTCTCTACGCCTCACCGCAAGGGCTGCCGCTGCGCCTTAATGGGATGTTAAGGTCTGGCTGGGCGGATGGGCTTTCCTGCCACGCCGCCGCCGCGATCACATCTCTCCCCCTCCCATTGCACGGTCGCAGCGAGCCGCCAGGGCTAACCATGCTCAGATCAGGGCGGGGTTCGCAACTGCCCATGAAAGCTCATACAGGAGAGCGCTATTGCCATCAGTGCTACTGCCGCATACCTAGAAGGCGTTTGTTTGTCCCCTCTCTCTCTCTCTCTTTCTACCCCTCTCTCTATATATATAGGAGGGGGGAGTGATGCAGCAGCGCCTCGGCTCGCATCACCTGCAGAGCGCAGTCTTCTACTTGCAGTCATTTCGCTCAACCACCCCAGGCGTAACGCCACAGTCTCTGCCGCCAGCATTCCCATTCCTCCATTTCCTGTTCCTGTTATGACATGGTTTCCATCCCCATCCTGTCTCCCCCCGTCGCTGCCTGTCTGTCTTCCTTTACTACCAGTACCTCGTCGCCACAGCCGGTTGGTAGTTTGATCAGCCCCCCCAGGGCTGACGGGCACTGGGGGGGAGGCTATATACATACAGAGGATCTTGCAGCCACCAAAAAGCAGGAACCAGGAGGAGGAAAAAGAAGAAGAAGAAGAAGACTCGGCATTGCGTGTGGTCTCGTCCGCTACCAGGAGGAGGAGGAGGAGGAGGAGGAGGAGGAGGAGGAGCAGGAGGAGGAGGAGCAGGAGGACCTCTCCATTACCCCCTTCTCCCCCGTCTTACCCGTGGTAGTGGTGGTGGAGAGTTGGCCCGCCATCCCTCCTCATGATCCTGCGATCCTCCTGTTCCCCTCCCCCCCCTCCCTCACCCAAAAACCATTCCCTCCCCGTCTTTACCCCCCTCCCCCCCAACCTCCTCCCTCCTCTGCATCCCGCTCCCGCTCCCCCCCGTCCCTCTTCCCCCCCTCCCTCCTCCACCCTTCCCCCTCCCCCCCCCCCCCCTCCTCTTCCTCCTCCTCCTCCTTTTCATCCTCCTCCTCCTCCTCCTCCTCCTCCTCCTCCTCCTATTCTATTCTATTCTCGTTGGGAGTGTCTGTCAATGCCAGACACCCCTAACAACAAAAACAGAGCTAGTCCGAATCCTCTCCCCTCTGGGGGGGCTCCTGACCAGCAGGCGGCAGCAAGCCGAACTTGGAGTAGAGCTCGGGAACCGTCCAAGCTTCACCCCACGTGGAATCAAACACTTCACCGTCCTCAGCCTCTCTATCCTCCAGAACCTGGACTCCCCTCCTCGTGGCTCGAACCAGCGCGAGGAGGTCAGATGGCAGCGGCGCCCTCTGGTCGCTGACCCGCCAACCTCTGCACTGCTTTGCCCAGCTGGGGAAGAGGCCTTTAAATGGACGGTTCCTCTGTTGCTTCAAATCTTTAGTGGGGGGGCTGCGTGGGGCAAGGTTTGCACAACGTGTCAACCCCGCCCCAAGCGTAGCCACCACATCTGATGCAACTCATCACCCACCCACTCCCCGCCACCCGAGCTCCCGCCCCGTCCCAGACCTTATACATTCTAAGGTTGTGACCTTGCAAGAGCACGATAGCTTGGCTCTCAGATACAGCTTTGGCACTGGAATCACTAGCCTTCGTGTCCGAAAACAGGGGAGTTTTAAAACTCATCAGGGTCCTTCTGGCACCGAGACGATCAGCCGCCTGCAGCGACCTGCGCACAAAGGCACGCTGCCTCTTGGCCTTCGCGTGCCAGGATGGTTCAGGGGCCAGGCCGTCCTGCTCATCAGGGGGCTCAGGAAAACCAGACGAGTCCGACCACGAACGCTGGCTCATGAGGACGTCCTGGGCCCCTCCCCACCGAATTATTTCCTCCTGGAGGCTCTGAAGGGCACCTACTTGCTCCTTGGCCTGCGAGACATCAGGGTGTTTGGACGCACCTAGCTTAGCAAACCTGTCGGCATGCCGATTCCCTTGCCTCTCGAAGACAGTGGATCGGCCCTCAAGGATATCATTCATCGTGGCGTGCCCCAACGTTTTGTGGGCCACAATTCCATCTTCAAAGACATGCCAGACACGAGACCACATATGGGCCCTGGGATTACACGAGCCTATCGATCCAAGCCGATCCCAGACGCAACCCAGGGTCCCCTCACAGTCCGTGTAGGTCTCAAAGTTGCCTGTAGCAATGT